CAGTGTTGATCCAGTTTGGAGTAGTCTGATCCGGAGACGGGGGTGAGCACACGACGTTTTGTGTTATTTCAATCTTCATCTGTATATATAGACTTGTCTTTTACCTTTCGAGACAGTCCAATCTTTGTGGTCCACTTTTGGGACTTGTACTCATTTTGTTAGTAGCTCTGTACTAGTGACTTCCAGGTTCTGAAAGAGATCTTTATTTGTATATATATTTTTGTTTGCTTCCGCCTGTTTAAATTGTTATCTTAAATTTTGCCTACTCTTGTTTAGTTTCTGCCATTAGACCCATTACTTGTTGTTTCGGGTTACAGGTTGGCTTACCTACTGATGGGTTATAGTAGGTGTTATCATGACTCGAGGAATCAGGTCGTGACAATAGGGATCCTACTTATGATAGAAAACATTATTTTCTGACTATAGTTGATGATTTTAGTAGGTTTACATGGATCTTTTTACTGCACACTAAGAAGGATGTAGTAGTTGTATTGAGAAGCTTTATATCCATGATTTGTATTTAGTTTGATTGTGTAATAAATGTTTTAAAATCTGACAATGACACTAAATTCTTTAATAATCAAGTGAATGATTTGCTATCTTCCTTAGGCATCATACATCAAAGTAGTTGTCCTTACACCCCATAACAAAATAATATTGTGGAAAGAAAACATAGACACATTTTGAACATAGGCAGAGCCTTAAAGATACAATCTCATGTTCCTAGTAGATTTTAGGGTGAATGTGTACAAACTGCAATATACTTAATTAACAAATTGCCTACAGTTGTCCTTGATGGTTATTCTCCTTATGAAAGACTGTTTGGAAAACCTCTTAGATTGGATCACATCAGAGTATTTGGCTGTTTATGTTTTGTTGCTACATTGCCTAGTGATGGGAAGTTTGAAGCTAGAGCAAAGAGAGTTGTTCTATTGGGGTTTTCTTCCACACAAAAAGACTATAAGTTATATGATCTTAATGCAAAGGTTGTGTTCATCAGTAGGGATGTTGTTTTCAGAGATGAAGTATTTCCTTTCAAGGTTATGCAACATCATGATGAAGGTCCATATCCTTTGTTTTCTCCATTTCTAAATGATACAGATGGTGCTCTTGATAATCTAGATCAGGTCCTCCCAATATATTCTTCCTTGCAGCCTCATGCTGAAGATTCTTCCTCACAACCTGCAGACCCAAGAACTGAAATGTCCAGCAAACCATGTGTTGAGTCCCCTATTGCTGATGACTTAGAAGATCTACAAGATGAACCTCATGCACATGGTTCTATAAAGTCAGTGCAAACTACCCCCATTGGTTCAAGAAAGACTATTAGGACTTACAAGCCTCCTCTGTGGATCAAAGACTATGATGTTCCCAAAAAGTCCAGTCCTCACTCTATCACTAATCATGTTTGTTATGATAATGTATCCACAGGTTATCAATCTTACTTACATGTTTTTTTAGCAGTTGTGGAGCCCCAATCTTTTAATGAAGCATCTCAAGACAAGTTGTGTATTGATGCCATGCAACAAGAAATCCAAGCTTTAGAAGATAACAATACTTGGACAATTGTTGACTTAGCACCTGGTGAGAAAACAATTGGTTCCAAATGGGTATACAAGATAAAGTACAAGTCCAATGGTGATGTGGATAGATACAAGGCAAGGCTAGTTGCAAAAGGGTATACTCAAAGAGAAGGTCTTGATTATCAAGAAACTTTTTCACCAGTTACTAAAATGGTTACCATTAGGAATGTCCTTAGCTTAGCAGCTTCCCATGGTTGGGATTTGTCCCAAATGGATGTCAGCAATACTTTCTTGCAAGGTGATTTACTTGAAGAAATCTATATGGAACTTCTTCTTGGCTTCTAATCACAGGGGGATCTAAGGTGTGCAAGCTGAGGAAGTCATTATATGGTCTTAAATAAGTATCTAGACAATGGAACATCAAGTTCACTGAGGCATTATTGATGGCAGGATACTCACAAAGTACTCATGATCACTCTTTGTTCATTAGAAAGGAAGGAACTGACATTGCATTGATTCTAGTGCATGTTGATGACCTTCTAATAACTGGGAATAGTTCTAAGATGATTCAAGAAGCAAAAGACACACTACACCAAAATTTCAAAATGAAGGACTTAGGAAGTCTCAGATATTTTTTGGGGATTGAAGTTTTGAAGTCAAAAGAAGGGCTGTTGTTGAATCAAAGAAAGTATGTTTTACAGCTTATTTAAAAAACTGGACTAAGTGGAGCAAAGACTGTAAGCACTCCTTTGGAATTTAACCACAAATTGACCAGTATATAATTCGATTAGGACATTGGTGGTTATGATGATTCAGACTTAGAAGATGTTACAACATACCAAAGATTGATTGGTAAACTGTTGTACTTAACAATCACCAGACCTGACATTTGTTTTAGTGTAGAAGTTCTGAGCCAGTTCATGCAACATCCTACGATTTCTCACTAGGAAGCTGCACTAAAGGTTGTGAGATATGTCAAAAGATCTCCAGGACTTGGGATAATGCTCAAAAGAGGGAATAATGTTACGAAACTTACTGGATATTGGTGATTCAGACTGGCTTCAAGCCCCAACACATGAAGACCAGTCACAAGTTACATAATACAACTTGGAGATTCTCTTATTTCATGAAAGTCAAAGAAGCAACAAACAATAAGTAGGAGTTCAGTTGAAGCAGAGTATAGGAGCTTGGCAGCTCTTGTTGCAAAACTGATCTGGTTAGCAGGATTACTAGATGAATTACAATTTCTAGTTGACATCCCAATCTCAGTGTTTACAGATAGCAAATCAGCTATACAAATAGCTCAAAACCCAATGTTTCATGAACGCACAAAACATATAGACATTGATTGTCATTTCATTCTAGAGAAAGTGAAATTAGGCTTTATAGATCTTAAACATTTCTGCACTACTATGCAACCAGCAGACATTCTCACAAAAGGGTTAGGTGCTACTCAACATCATCTCCTTATGACCAAACTTGGTGTGTTAGATATCCTCCACCCTTCAGTTTGAGAGGGTGTGTTGAATTACAGATGGTAGAATTGGTGCATTGCTATTGGCAAGTTTAATAGTTAGTTGGAGTTTGTTAGGAAGTTACAACTCAGCTTGAAAGGTCACGTGGTTTGCACTTCTGTTAGTTACAATAACTATGATCCTCTATATATAGAGGTAGCTATGTAAAATGTTAAGCAGGAAAAAGAAGTGAGATTCATCCCAATTTTCAGATCACAAATATAATGCAAGATGTTTCAATTTAATACAATTTTACTTTCTTCTTCCCGTAGATTTCACAAATTCTTTAAAGTTGATGGCCTTGACAAAGTTAGAAATTTCATCAATATATATATATATATACATATATATAATATAATTTTTTGACGAATAGTATCCAACTGGCCACCTTGAGTTATATATATGGCTACGCCACTGATTGATGGTGGCGGTGATTGGCGAAAGGAGGAGGTGGAGTTATGCAGGTGGTGGTGTTACTATGGTGGTTTTTAGTTTTCTAGATATAACTCAGATCATTTAAGAAATTTTTGGCTTTTAAATTCATTTTTTATGTTTGAAAGTGTTTAAAAATACAAAAATGGCTTTTAGAGGCTAGAAAGTGAGTACTCCGTAAAAATAAGTTCAAAATTAAAAGTTAGATATGACCAACTTATGACTTTTAATTTATAAGTGGCTTGAAAAAAGACAATCCAAACACTTGATTAATCCAAACAACATTTTTATATTCAACTGAAACGTGAAACTAATCAAACTTAATAATGATAAATCTGTTAATCCTTAATAAATAATCATTAAAGCATGCAAAACTCACTGAAGCATAAAAAAAAAAAAAAAAAAAAAAAAAAGAGCGAAAAGAATAAGAAGAAAAACTCACTATAGCATGAATAGTTACAAATTGAAAAATTAAATATGAAGAATTAGAGTCAAGGATAAAACATGAAAATTTGTTCAAATATTCAAATTCTAATGATCTATAATTTGGGGTTTCAATCATTCACAAAATAACACCTAATAATCAATAGCAACTTCAACAATATAAACGCAAAAAAATAGATCGGGACAAACTTTATATAATAAAAATCAGAAAAATAAAACAGGGGAAAAAATGAACCTTTATTGAGCCAAGATTTTTAAACAAAGCCTCTAAAATCAGATATCTGTTGCTCAAATCGAATTACGTCAACGTGATAAAAGTTCCTCGATTGTGTAAAATAATATAACACTAGTACTTTTTTTTCTCTGTTATACGTGTGTATTTATATTGTTCCTCTTTTTTCTTCTTTTTTTTCTGTATAAGTTGTGATTTGGTTGAAGATTCATTAGGGAAACCTAAAGGTTTTTGGTTTGAAAAATTTTAGAGGGAAAAAACAGAACGCAGGATTAGGGGGGAATTAGTTTTAGATTAGGACTTTTCCTCCTCCATTTTTGTTTGTTTATTTTTTTTTTGTCTATTTAAAAATATAATATAATAATATTAGCTAACTATTTGGCACTAATTTTTTTTTAAATAAAGTTAATAACTAGACTAAAAAAATTGTTACTTAGAAAATACGAAATTACTATCTTTATTTATTAGGAAATTTTACACAAATCACGTAGCGTAAAGAGCTAATTGCATTTTATAATTATCCTACTCTTGTTCAAATTACAAAAGTCAGTTAAATTTGGTGGAATCCGGATATATCGCGTCCCAATTTCGAATACATCCCGATAATTGTGTCTCGATTTCGGATACATCACTCAACATCCCGATACATCGCTTAAAGTGATGTATCTGACCGATACATTGCGTAAAGTGATGTATCCAAAAACAGAAATTTTTGTAATTTTTTCAAATAGTAGAAAATTTTAGAGAATATGATAAAATAATAATGTAATTAATAACCGAAGCTTCTTCATCAAAAGTGCATGACCAGATCATACAATGTATTAAAGAAATTCATGGAATATATATAAATATTTAAACCATAAACATTAAATAATCTTCAATCTAAGCAACCACACATTGTGAACATAATGCATAATCATTCACATTTCATTCAGATGTCTGATCATTCTTGACATACTTTTATGCTTTTACAATATTATATTATTCAAGTACATCAGAATGTTTATAAAATCTAAAGAAACAGATTTTACACAAAAATCACCAAGTTTTGAGTTGCATATTGAACTTGATTTCATACTTGTCTAGACTTGCTCATGAAAATTTGATTGCTTCTCATCATTGTAACACTTAACATTATTGATATAGCCATTGCCCATATTCTGTTGGGACTCATCAGTAGCCGTTGTCTTCTTATTTAATATTTTTTTGTCACAGTAAATAAAATATAAGATCAACTGTACTATTCCTAAAGCCAAGCCAACACCTGTTGAAATCTGCAAAGTACAAAATTATTAATTAATACAAGTAATTCACAAATGTCCCACATATTAATTAATGTTGATAGTTAGGGGTGTAAATGGACAGGTTGAGTTAAAATAGGATTAGTTCATGATCTGTTCAATTTTACTTTGGATTCAAATGGATTGGTTAAAAATCGGGCTGAGTCATGACTTGTCCAATTTGACCGATTTAATCTCAATAATTTTAAAATATTGTTATTTACCTTTTATAACCATAATTTGAATTTCAACTCAAGAAAATAAAAAAATAATTACAAATTGATAGATAAATCCTAGAAGATATTAAATAGATAGTAATTCATACCTTCGATATGAGAACATACATTACACCAACGCAAATAAAGAGACTTAAAACAGATTTAAATTGAACTCAATTGAAGATTTTATAAAATAAGTTGAGGCTTGAATGATTTGAGATTGACCTAATTTAAATTATCTTAAGCCCAACCTATAAGATTCTGACAAATAAATAGGTTATTTATATTTGAACTCATTTTGACACCGTACTAGAAATTGGATTCAATTTTTAACATATATGATGAATAGGAGAGATGCTAGGCGCAATACTTACGCCAACAAATGGGTCCATTCCTAGCATGGCATAGGTAAACCAGCAGCTGCAAGATATGACAACAGCAAATGACAGGAAGAATGGCATGTACTCCACACTCTTGGTCTTTATTACTAGTCTCTGCACAAATTAATCTTTCCTTCATAAGTACTCTTTGACGAAATCAACGAGAGGGAGTTATTCAGATAGTAAAATATTCCTCATTTATAACTTTAAAATTGTGAGTTCAAGTCAAACATAGCATAAATATTGTACAGATTAATTAATACTAGTAATAATTTTTGAATCTATAATTAAAAAAAATACAATGAATTAAATGATGAAAGCATAAATACTGGATCCACCTAGTTTAAATATTGAATCTACCTTGCGGTTAGAAGCAAATTTAGGATTTGAAATTTGAATGGTGACTTAGAGAAGGAATCATTGCATAACATATACTTCCTTTGTTTTAATTTATTTGCCAATTCTTTTTTCTTTTTAGTATGTTAAAAAACTCTTTTTGTTTTTTCTCAAATTTTAGAACTTTTCATGCATGTTTATAAGATTACAAGATTAAATGATAATTTGATATTTTTTACATATCTTTAGTTCAAGATAAAAAGTTTTCTTTACCTACTTAAACTCCGTGTCAAGTAAAAATCAGACAAATAAAATGAATACAAAGAGAGTATTGAGAGAGCTTACAATGATAGACATAGGAGATGCATACATAACGATGGAGAATATGGTAGCAGCCGTACCACAAAAGAGTTGCCTGTTTTTTCCATGAAAAGCAAGCACTGAAATAACCGCTGCGGCAGCAAACGCCAATATAACTAATATCAACATTGCTAATATTTTCCCCTTTTGTTTATTGGGCGCATATAAGAAGAAAATCAACACGTATATCAACTCAATTACAGCTCCAGCTCCATTTATTGTTGCTATTAGAATATTGTTTGATGTTATAAATGGCAAACCGTACCTATTCATTTATTAAATCAATAACTTCATCAGTAAACATTTGACACAATAATTACAATGGAAAATTACAATTTAATCTATGAACCGATCGAATTGTTTTGAATAAGGCAAAATTTTGATTTTCTTAAATCAATTGATTAATCTCAAGATTTCATTTTGGATAGCAGTTGTTTCGAATATCACAATTATAGTAGTTATAAATAAAGGTCGCCAAATATGCCAATCTGAACTCGATATTTTTCACATAAATATATCAAAATATAATTATTAAAAATTTAGCTAAAAGTATCCGTTTGATCATAGATATTTACAAAAATATTTGAGAACAAATTTGACAAATAGTGAATGATCACACGATTGGTTATCATATGACAAATGTTTTTGACAAATAATAAACATTTTTAAATACTAGAAAAAAAAATTAGAAATCAGGCTAAATTCTATTGTTTGAGAATTTTTAAAAATTTAAAATTTACTTTAAGCTTTTATATTTTATAAAAAAACATATTACTATTTATTAGTTTCAACTTTACAAGTTTGAGAAAGGCCGACACCATAAAAGCATTTAATCAACTTATGTATTGTTTTTCTTCCGTTCTTTTTATTTATTTAATTCCCAAGCATATAAAGATATTTTTCATAAAATAATATTTAGGAATCTATGCCCAAACGCAAGCATTACAATATAAGTTTGATAAAAAGGCAATTTAAGAACTCAATAGATTGACACTTTTTTTCCTTTTTGGAGCATAGATAGCTACCATGCAGAAAGCAAGCAGTTGAGAAATGTCATAACATAAGGTATTCCAGAGAACTGTTCTGTTGATTTGTTCTCGATAATCCTCTTGAATGTAAACCTAAATTCAATCAAACAAAACTATATTAAATTTATTTATATTATTAGTGTACATAAATTATAATCGAGTAACATTGATTTATCATTTGAATGAATATCTAATTTCTCGAAAAAGTCTCACTGATTACCTATAGTTAAGTATAAAATATTTGAGAAAAAAATATAACAATGAATTTTATTTATTTTTTTAAAAAAAAATTGACTTGGCAAAAGATAAATTGACTAGTTCTCTTGAATTAAGAAATTCATTAATTAGTCATCAAAAAAATACAAAAAGCAAGAATTTCAAATTTATAATATACGAATCTAGCTAGATTTAAAGTGTCAATTTCAGCAAATACGAAACTAAAAAAATTCTTGATTTTTTTAAAACGGTTTTTCATCATAGATAAATCAACTATTTCAATTTTAATTAAAAAAAAAATACTCGTTTGACTCCATATAATATAAGACGGAGAAAATATATTATGTCTCTCTTTACAAAAACAACCCCCCCCCCCCACCCCCCCGAAACCCCCTTTCTTTTTGAAAATTAAATAAAATTCTGAGAAGTATTTTTGAGAATTATTCTTACGTGGGTACCAAGAAGAGAAAAAGAGTAGCGGCATTTCCTGTTAATTAGTAGGAAAAAAGAGAAGCAAAATGAGAAGAAAAACTCAACCAGAAATTAATTAATTAAAGAGAAAAATATACAAATAAAATAAAATATGAAAATAAATTAATTTTTAAAGTGACATAAACTCACCAACAATCCCAAAAACAAATTGTATAGTATGTACAAGACCACCCATATTGTTGTGTTCTCTATTAGAGATAGTTAATTCTTTAGTCCATGAACTTGTTCAATATATATAGAGGAAAAGAGTACTCTATGGGCTTTAAATAATATTTTAGTCAAATAAATAATTAAAGAATCCAAGACACTATAAAGTGAAAACCTGACCAATAATTATTCAAAAGTATTTCAGAGGAAGACGATGCATGTGTTACTATAAAGATGTTATCAATTATTATGATCATGCACGACTAAAAAAGCAAACAAATTAAAGGAAAAAAAAACTTTTCAAAGATTGTGAAAGTCTGGTTTATATTTTTCTAAGAAAATAACAACACTTATTTTAGTAATAAAAGTGTTTTGATCAAGCTTTAAGTATTTCTGAATAGTGATAAAAATATGTTTTTCAATTTTCTTAAACAGAGACTGAAAAAATTAAAGCGTTTCTAAAAAAAAATGATTTATTTTGGACAAGATTACATATATATTCATATTAAAAATTTACCTTTACTAAATTAGTTAGCAGAAAAAAATATTGGTTGCACAAAATTCAGAAATATTTTATTAAAGTAATTTTTCAAAAATAAAAAAACTTTTTCGAGCATATCAGATTTAGTCAGTTTGGCCAAGGCTTTTTAAAATTTGTCCTTTTGAATTTTGTTGTTGTCAGTGGTGCGGAAAAAAAAAATTGTTTATGGTTAATCAATTTGAAATACTTTTTTCAATATTAAAATAACAATTTGTGTTTAATTAATCAATCTGAAAGACATGTTTCTCAATATTAAAATAACAATTTATGCTTGGTTAATATTTCAAAAAGTATTTCAATTTTTTCTTACTTTTTCAGCTTCTTCTATTGCTCAGAAACATTTATTTTTCACGTAAGAAGTTGACGAAATACCTCATCTCCATAAAAATGAATATATATACGTATATATATAAAACAAATTGTTGAGGAAGTTAAAAAAAAAAGAAATCAAAATCTAAAAGTTAGTAAGGCATGGTTTCCAGAAGTTAGTTAGAGTTAGTTAGAAGATTAGGTAAGTTAGTTACAAAGGTATATATAAATACATATGCTTATTCATTGTAAAAATATACTTCAAGAAATATATACTATCTTCATCTTCTACAATTCTATTATCAATCTTGTTTAGTAGTTAATTTCTTCATGGTATCAGAGCCAGTGATTGGAATATAAAGAATTCATCTGCGTATTACTTCTGAAGATCTGGAGATCAGAATTTGTCATCTGTTTAAGACTTCTGAAGATCTGAAGATCAAAATCTGACTTAAATTGTTTGTTGTTTTTCCGCAATTCAATTCAAAGAAGAAGGAAGATTGTTAACATGACTCAAGGAATATCTGAACAAACAACTGGAGACAGCAGTACTGATGGAAATCCAAGCTCTGTTCCGGCAATGTCTATGAGTCAAGGGGTCGATTACAGTCATCCATTGTTCTTGAGTCCTGCTGATATCAGTGGGGTAAATCTGATCTCATTTCAACTGATTGGAATTGAGAATTATGCTTTGTGGAGTAGGTCGATTAAATTAGCATTACTCGGAAGAAACAAGATTGGTTTGGTAGATGGATCTTGTAGAAAGGAAAGTGTGAGTGCAGAATTAAGAGGCCAGTGGGAGAGGGTGAATGCTATAGTCCTCTCGTGGCTCCTAAATTCAGTATCAAAAAGTCTTCTAGGAGGAGTGGCATTTGCTTCATCAGCTCAAGGGGTATGGAATGATCTAAAAGAAAGGTTTGATCAGTTAGATGGGTCAAGAACCTTTAGCCTGCATAAAGAAATTGCAACCTTGCAACAGGGTACTGATTCTGTGTCAGTATATTTTACTAAACTTAAAACCTTGTGGGATGAATTTGAGGCGTTAGTGCCACCTCCTGAATGTGATTGTGAAAAGGCAAGAAGTTTTGTTGATCATTTAAATCGATAGAAATTGTATCAGTTCTTGATGGGATTGAATGAGTCTTTTGGACAGGCAAGAAGTCAGATTTTGTTAATGAGTCCTGTTCCTACAGTGAACCAAGCTTATGCAATGGTTATAAATGATGAGTGTCAAAAGATAACTTCTAGCAGGACAAGTGTAGGATTAAGTTCTGTGACTGATTCTGGTGTAGACCCTATGGTGATGTATTCAAGAACAAGTGGAATCTCCAGTACTCAAGGATTGAACAAGTTCAAGAAGAACTTTCCTGTTGTATGTGAGTTTTGCAGATGCAAAGGGCATACTAAGGATCAGTGTTACAAATTGATTGGATACCCTTCTAATTTCAAATCCAAAAGAAAAATGAGTACTAATACAGGAAGTGGAGCTTACATGGTTGGGACTGATGTTAACAGTACAAGAAAGACTTGCTATGAGGATGGTTCAGATGGATCAAACTTCAACTATGGAAGTAACACAAATGTTCCTGTGAAAAATCATATAAGTAACATAGGTGATTGTTCAAGTCAACTGCAGGGGTGTAGTTTCACCAAAGATCAGTATGATCAAATTCTGCACATGTTAAAGCAGAATCAAGGATGTGGACAAAAATCAGAAGATACAAATCCAGTACAAGATCTTCAGGCTAATATTGCAGGTAAAACTTTGTTAGTTTCTGAAAATAATCAGGTCTGGATTATAGATACAGGGGCATCTAATCATATGGTATCTAATTTGGATATGCTTACAAAACATTCCGTTGTTAAGGTTAAGGATCCAAAATCAGTTTATCTACCTACTGGTGAAGTGTCTTATGTGTCTAATACTGGAGTGTGTCACATATCTCCAAGGAGTGTGATTACTAATGTCTATCATATTCCAGAGTTCAAGTACAATTTACTCTCAGTAAGCAAATTGACTAAAGAGTTAAATTGCTCAGTCACTTTCTTCCCTCATTTCTGTGTATTTCAGGATCTTTACACTGGCAAGGTGAGGGAAGTTGGTAAAGAGGATAATGGGTTGTACTTGCTGCTGAGGAACTTAACACAAGATCACTCACTTGTTGCGTCTGAAAAGAAGTTAGAAGTTCAACAATTGTCAGAAAAAGAAGTGGATGTATGGCACAGGAGGTTAGGACATGGAGCATCACATGTGTTAAGTAAAGTGTTTCGTGTTAATTCAGAAATAATGAACAAAGTGTTGAATGAATGTACTATTTGTCCTAGTGCAAAACAGACCAGAACTGTGTTTCCTATTAGTAGTATTAAAAGTAGTCAAGTGTTTGATTTGATTCATTTGGATGTATGGGGACCATACAAACAGCCTACATTTGATGGTAATAGATTTTTCCTTACAATAGTTGATGATTTCTCAAGAATGACGTGGGTTTTTTTGTTAAAAAATAAGTCAGATGTGTGTGTAGCCTTAGGTTATTATCTGAAATTTGTTAAAACACAGTATGACAAAGAGGTAAAAAAGGTTAGATCTGATAATGGAACTGAATTCATGAATTCAGTTTGTGCTGCTTTGTTTAAAGAAAGAGGGATAGTACATCAGAGATCCTGTCCTTATACACCTCAGCAGAATGGGGTGGCTGAAAGAAAGCATAGACACCTCTTGGAAGTAACTAGGGCTCTAAGGTTTTAGGGGCATATTCCTTTAAATTATTGGGGTCAGTGTGTGCTTGCAGCTGTCTACCTGATAAATAGGATGCCTAGCAGAGTTCTGGGAGGTAAATCTCCATATGAGAAAATGTATGGAAGCAAGCCAATATTGTCTCACCTTAGAGTATTAGGTTGCTTATGTTATGCTAAGGTTCTAACTGAGAGTGATAAGTTAGCATCAAGGACAAAGGCTGCAGTACATATGGGATATTCAGAAACTCAGAAGGGCTATATTTTGTTAGATTTGACTTCAAGTAATTTCTTTGTGAGTAGAGATGTGGTATTCAAAGAGACAGTGTTCCCTTTCATGTCTGCCTTAGGTAAAAGCAAAAAGGGTACATTTGTGAGTAGTATGGATGGTACTATGATAAATGGAGAATGGAAGTTGTTGTGTGACAACATGATGAACAAGCAGAATAGTGAGAATATTTGCTTACAAGAAGAGCAATGTAGTCAGGAGTTGAACAGAAACTTGGATGGCAACATTGAGCAAGAGACAGTGAAAGAAACAGTTCAAGATAATGAGTCTGTTACTACTGACTCTCAAACAGTGGTACATAGAAGGTCTACACGAGGAGTACATCCACCAGTTTGGATGAAAGATTTTGTGTCACTAAATATGGGCAAACCGGTGAAGTATCCTATAGCTGACAGTGTTGCATACAATCACTTGTCTAAATCTTACCAGGAGTTTGTTGCTGCAACTTCTGTTCTAACTGAACCTGCATCCTTTGTTAAAGCCAGCAAAGATCCTAAGTGGATTGAAGCAATGCAAGCTGAAATAAAAGCTTTACAAGATAACAAAACTTGGACACTGGTTGATTTGCCAAAAGGAAAGTCTGTTATTGGATGCAGATGGATCTATAAGATTAAATACAAGTCTAATGGAGAAGTAGAAAGGTTTAAAGCAAGACTGGTGGCCAAAGGATATAGCCAAAAGGAAGGCATAGATTACAAAGAAACTTTTTCCCCTGTGGTAAAAATGGTTACTGTGAGAGCTATTTTAGCCTTAGTAGTGTCCAAGTGTTGGCATATACATCAAATGGATGTATATAATGCTTTTTTGAATGGTGATTTAGAGGATGAAATATACATGTCTGTGCCTCAAGGTTTTTCCAGCCAGGGGGAGAATGATTATAAGGTGTGTAGGCTAGAAAAATCATTGTATGGGCTTAAACAAGCACCAAGACAATGGAATCATAAATTTGCAGCAGTTCTACAGAAGCTGGATTTCAATCAAAGTCAGCATGATCACTCTTTATTTACAAGAAGGACTACTGAAGGAACTACAATAATCTTAGTGTATGTTGATGATATTTTGGTAACAAGAAGTAGTTTAAAGCTAGTAGAGGAAACAAAAAGGTCCTTACAACTGAGTTTTAAAATGAAGGATCTAGGAGAGTTGAAATACTTTCTTGGAATAGAATTTGTAAGATCAAACAGTGGAATAGTTATGCATCAAAGAAAATATGCACTTCAACTCATTT